ATTATTATTATGATTATCATTATTATTATTATTATCAGTATCATTATTCTTATTCTAACTACTAGGTGTATATATATATATATATATATCTATATATATATATATATATATATATATATCGTCGCCCTACAGTAGTGCTCGCCGCCTCCGCGCCTGTGCCATGGATTGCTTCAGAGTGCGGTTGTAAGGCAGAAGGGGTTGGCCCATGCCCCTCCTCCACTGTGGCAGTCAAGACCAGGTCCGAGGATGCATCACTCTGTCTCCGTCAAGGCGAAGTGCCCTTGTTGTCCTGGGGCTCGGTCGTTGCCGCCCCCCGCCTCTCCGCTCGTCCACCTTCCCCTGGCCCTCCTGGTCCACCTGCCTCCTTTTGCACGTCCTGCTGCTGCCTCCCCTGGGCCTCCTTATCGGAGGTGGATAGACCTCCTACCATGACACGTCGATTGAGGAATTGGCCGTTTTCCGTTCGCGAGAGGGCGTCGCGGCCGTCATTTTTGCGGGTCCAGGTCCGTCGGTTTCGGTCCGAGGCCGTTCTCGCTGAGGGGAGGTTTGCTAAAGGGAGGTTTGTCCATCGCCGACCTTAGCCGTTGCGGCTCGAGGAGGCCTCTCCTCAGGGTGCAAGGCCGGGCGCGGGGCCAGGAAGAGGCGGGATCCGCTCCAGAGCGCTCCGGACCGCTCGCCGGGCGTCCCGGCACTTTCCAAGGAGGCTGCGGCGCCCGAGGCGCCCTTAAAACGACGCGAAGATCGGGACAAAATCGGATCGGGATAACTCGAAATCTCTGAGAATCGGCGGGTTTGGAGGATGTATTGGGCGCCGCGGCCGCTCCAGAGCGTTCCGGAACGCTCTGAGAGCGCTCCGGAACGCTCTGGAGCGATTCATCCCGATCCTAGCCCTGTTTTAACCCTCCGGCGACTTTGCGTCCTCTTCCTGGCCTCGTCCTGCAGGAAGGCCCCTCCCCTGGCAGCGCGGGAGAGATTCGGGCCAGACGAAAGGGGGGGACGGAAAAGGGGGGGTACGAAATCTGCCGCATGCAGCTGGTTACAGCCTCACCGAGGGGCCCATTCCTCGATACGTGGCCGCCTCCCGGCGCCGGGGCGCCGGGAGGCGCCAGGAAAATCAGCTGCGTGAGCGGATTCTCAAGCCTCAAGTCGGGCCTGTCCCTCTACAGGAGGAATATTCAAAAATAGTCCAAGAAAAGTAAGGGAAGCGATTTTTGCAGTATTTTTGGCCATTTTGGAGTATTTTTTTACAACAAAAAAAACAATTTCTTACTTTTCCTCGAAAGCCCCCCTGTAGGGGGACAGGCCCGACCTGATGCTGTCCCCCCCTCTCGCCCGGCCCGAGAGATGCGCGCCGCCGCCGCCGCCGCGGCGGCGCCCGCGGCTGGCCGGGGGCCCCGCCGCCGCCGCGGGGGCCCGCGCCGCGCGGCGGCCCCAGGCTGGCGGCGGGGCCCGCTGCGGCGGCGCTCGGCGCGGCCTGCGGGGCCGCCAGCGCGGAGGGCGCCGGCCACGCGGGGAGTCGGGCGTGTGCCTCGAAGCTCGGACCGTCGGAACCTCGGAAGCGAATCGGACAGGACCGGACGGAGTCGATATCGAATCGAGTCGATCGGACCGAGACGGGCCCTGGGGGCCGCAGGGGAGGACCCAGGCCTCCAACGCAGTGAAAGAAATCGAGACAGTCTCTGGCTGTTTCCGGCGTCTGGGTTGAAGCTCGCTGAGGGGCAGCGAACGCGATCTGTGTTTCTGGGGCGACGGGGGAGAGGGCAATGCTTTCGTAGGGCAAGAGCAAGCAGGAGCAGCCCCATCGTCGGCAAGAGCAGACCTGAAAGCAGAGCTTCTCGCGAAGGGCGGCTGCAAGGATTGCCGTTGACCGATCAAGCGCGCCCGCCGAGCCTACGGGGATCTGGCCTTGGAAACAACGCTGCCCCCCCAGCAACCTTCAACGTGTGCCTCCTCTAACAGGAGGAGGCTTCGAGAGCAGCTGCAAGCAGACTTGGGAGGATCCTCGTGCTTTTTTTTTTGTGTGTGTGTGTGTGTGATTGTTTTTTTGGCAAATCTTTTGGGGGACTATTTTGGTGCATTCTTGGTTATTTTTTTGGGGGACTTTTTTTGGTGACGATTTTTCAAACTGTTTTTTTTGTTTCTGGACGCCCGAAATGGGTACGGAAAACATGGGTACAATGCCAAACAACAAATGTTGTCCCAAACCAACAGCGGCCGCTGTTGGGCAGGCGGCCTTCTGTCTCAGATGGGCGCTGGCCGCGGCGGCGCGGACAGCGAGCCCGCGAGCCCTGCTCAACATGAACAGGAACTGCTGTTGGGCATTGTACCCATTCTTTCCGTACCCACCTCGTCCGTGCCTATTTTTGCATGATTCTTCAGAGATTTTTTGGCACATTTTTCAAATTATTTTAGGAAATTTTTTTGGGGATTATTCTGTGAATTATTTAATGACAATTTTTCAGGCTGTTTCTGCACGACTCTTCCAGAGTCCGCCCGTGGGAGGACGTGTCCAGCCTGAGGCCGCGCGCACAGGCGCAGGCGCGTCGGCCGCGGCGGCGCGGGCAGCGAGCCCCGCTCAGCATGAAGAGGAACTGCCGTTGGGCATGGACCCGCTTCGCCCGTGCCTGTGTTGGCACAACTCTTCAGAGTATGTTTGGCACATTTTTCGGAGTATTGATGGCATTTTTTTGGATTATTATGTGACAATTATTCAAGCCATTTTATTCAAGCCACTGTGTGAATTATTATGTGACAGTTGTGGCAATTTTTGACACATTTTTTCAGAGTATTTTTTTGGCCAATTTTTTGCGGGGACTATTCTGTGACAATTTTTCAAGCTGTCTTTGCACCATTCTGCCAGAGCCCGCCCGTGGGAGGCCGTGCCTGGCCTTCAGGGCCGCGCGCACATACGCAGGCGCGTCGGCCACGCCGCGCAAAGGGCCCTCGGCACCGCCGGGGCGCGCGCGGGCGCTTTTTCTCTCGGCGGGGGCCCTTCGAGGAGCACTTTGGACCCTCTTCTCAGGGGACCATGAGAATCTTTTCCGATCTATTTAGACTTTTCCTATCTATTTAGAGCGGTGCCGATCTATTTAGATCCGCCTATCTAAATAGAGCTTGGTGATCTAAATAGACCTTTTTTTAGAGCCGATCTATTTAGATAGGTTTTTCTGCAAACAAAACTCGAATCTATTTAGATCGGTTGATTTTCTAAGAGGCCCAACATGGGTGTCAGAAAAAGGCCTTTCGAGGAGCACTTTGGGTCCTCTTCTCAGGGGAGGAAGAGGTACCCATACCTCTACCCTTCAGTCGGGCCTGTCCCTCGACAGGGGGAATCTTCAAAAATAGTAAAAAAATAGTCGGGGACGATTATTTGAGTATTTTTCGGCCACGTTTGAGTTTTTTGTTAAAGTATTTTTATGTTTCGTCCAAAATCCCCCTGTAGGGGGACAGGCCCGACTTAACTCTACCCTGTCCTCGTATTCCCCTTTTTGGGCCTCCTGGGCCTCCCTCGTTCGCACCGCTGGATTCGCCCCGAAGTCTTGGTCAGAACGCACCCCAGGAGAGGTCCAGGGAGTAGCGGTATCGGTACCTTTTGGTTTCCACATCTTCTGTGAAGAACATGCGCGCGAGGTCGGCAACGTGCACGGGGAATGGACGTCCAAGCGATGGCAGGAGGGGGGGGATACAGTCAAGACGCTGAAGTAAGGACCAGTTTGGATTCGGAAGGGGCCCGATGTTCCTTAATGCTCCTCCATTGCTGTTCCTCTTGCCCTCCTGGGGCACGGAGGCGCTCACACGGCCAAGCAGGGGCTTCGCTCCTTATTTAGCGTTCCTTCTGTCAGCGGCCCGACTGCAGGGGGGACCGACTCCGCGCGGAACTCTGGGGCGTTTTGTGCTTATGCCACTGTTCCTTACCCTGGGGTAGGGTTAAGTCGGGCCTGTCCCCCTACAGGGGGGTTTTCGACGAAAAAAATAATCAAAGAATAGTTCAAACATAGTCTGGGGACTATTTTTTGATTATTTTTTGACCTTTTGGGGTATTTTTTATTTTTCGTCGAAACTGCCCCTGTAGGGGGACAGGCCCGACTTAAGGGTAGGGGGAGGGGGGAAGGCTTCTTAGCAGCACCTCCGATCCTGGGCCCGAGCTCGGTGCGCGTGCCGAGCCGGGAGGGACGCCGGCACCGAGGCCGGGCCCGGCGCGGGCCCAGCCAGGACGCGGCCATCCCCGAGCGCGGTCCACGGCTCGCAGATCTGGACGCCCGAAATGGGTACGGAAATAATGGTACAATGCCCAACAGCAGTTCTTGTTCATTTTGAACAGGATTCGCTGTCCACGCCGCCGCGGCCTGTGTCCATTTGAGACAGAGGGCCGCCTGCCCAACAGCGGCCGCTGTTGGTTTTGAACAACATTTGCTGTTGGGCATTGTACCCATTGTTTCAGTACCCATTTCGGGCGTCCAAAGCAGAAAGTCTGGAGGAGAAGAAACACACAGACACAATTCATCGTCGCTTCCCCAGGAAAATGTGGGGAAGTATGGGCAGTAGGGGGGAAGACAGAAGCCCAGGAAATGTGGGAAGATATGGAGAGTCCTCTTATTTGTGTGTGTATTCATTTGTGTGTCCCAGGGCCCCTTCAGGAAGTGCCTACTCGCAAATGCTCGAAAACCACACGTTCGCCTGGACCTGCCGGATCGCAGACCCCCCGCGGCGGATCCGGGCCACCTGCGAGCAGCTCCTCCGCGAGTTGTGCAACGCGTTTGCTTGGCATCGCTCGGACGTGTGCATTTTTCCTGTGGCGAGGACCATCGAGGAGCATCCTTGATCATTTGGCGAAAGAGCCACGCACGAAACCGAACAAAAGCACAGGGAATGGGCGACCGAGCGATGGCCAGTTTGTCTAGTCTGTCTAGTTCAGGTGTGTGTGTGTGTGTGAGTGTGTTTGGCGTCCTCCGCCCATCGCCACGGCGGCGCCGGGCGGGCGATCGAGCCGCCGCCCGCAGCGGCGCGGGCTCGCCGCCGCCGCCGCCGGCGACACGGCGGTGTCCCCGCTCACGGCGGCCCTGGTCGCCGCCGAGCTGCTGCCGAAGCTGGTGGAGGCGCGGTCCCCGACGCCCGCCAGCTGGCCGTCGCAGACGGACGAGCTGGAGTACGTGGGCCGGCACGAGCAGCTGCTGAAGTACCTGCAGACGTGCTACGAGACGGCCCTGAGGGCGGCGCCGGCCTCGTGGAAGGGCGGGCCGAACGAGGCCGTGCTGAAGGACCTCATCCAGGACCTGGACAAGTCCTGCCAGAAGGGCATCCAGATCTGGCGGGAGGTGACGGGCAACACGTGCGACAAGTTCAAGACGGTGCCCAAGTACTACTTCTCGGAGCTGCGGGGCAGGAGGAAGTGCGCCCTGCCCCAGCCGCCGGTGAACCTCACCGAGGAGGCTACCCTGTCGTTCCTCTGCGTCGAGGTCGTGGCCGGCCTCCGCCGCGCCGAGCGCTTCGAGCTCTTCGCGCGCAAGGCGGACACCGTCGTGCCGGCGGAGCGGTGGGAGAAGAACGCCAAGGTGGCGAAGGCCAGGGCCTCCGACATCATGGCGGCGGCGGTGCGGATCTTCGGCGAGAGGAGGGTGGAGACCGAGCTCATGACCTGCATCAAGGAGGAGAACGAGGTGTCCCGCGAGATGCTCGACGGCTCCAGTGGGCGCGTGCGCTTCGGCGCGCGGCCGGGGGAGGACCCCGCCGCCGAGGACGACGCCGACGACGACGAGGGCGACGCCTGCGACATCTCCGCCGCCCTTCGGCCCGTCTTCATCGTTTCCGACTGCACCGGCGAGTCGGCGCAGCACACGGTGGACTCGGCGCTGGGGCAGTTCAGTCACTGCTTCGATCGCTCCACCTCGGTGAACATGACCGTCTATCGCTTCTGCTCGGAGGCGGAGATCGAGGGCATAGTGGCGCTGGCGAAGGAGAAGGGCGCCTTCATCGTCCACACGCTGGTAGACCCGCGCGTCAACGCCGCCCTAGTGGAGCAGTGCGATTCAGCGGGCGTGGACCACCACGACCTTTGGGGCAGGCTTCTCGAGAAGCTCGAGGGGTACTTCGACGTGACCAGGTCGGCGATCCCGGGGCAGAGGCAGGTCGTGGACGAGAAGTATTTCCAGATGATCGAGTGCATCGAGTATACCCGCACGTTGGACGATGGCGTCCTGCCCCACAGGTGGGCGGAGGCTGACATCATCATCCTGGGCCCGTCTCGCACTGGCAAGACCCCCCTGTCGTTCTTTATGTCCCAGCGCGGATACAAGGTGGCCAACTACCCAATCGTGCCCGGCGAGGATCTCCCCAAGGAGCTGTGGGATTTCGACCAGGACAGGGTGTTCGCTCTCACCATCGATCCGCAGAAGCTGTCGAGCATCCGTAGTAATCGCATGCAGACCTTGAAGATGGGCTCTGGCACCGCGTATGCTAAGGCCTCAAAGGTGCAGGAGGAGATTGCTTGGTGCAGGGCGCTGTACAAGAAGAACCCGCGGTGGACTGTGCTCGACACCACGTACGCTGGCATCGAGGAGAGCTCCGCGTCCATAATGAAGGTCCTGTCCCAGCGGGGGACCCAGAGTCGCATGAGCTTAACTGATAACCCGTCTGCCATCTGAGCGGTGCTGGTCTTCCTGCCGATGTGGGGCTCTCCGTAGCGACGGTCGTGTGGTCGGAAGGTGGTGGTGGTGTAGCGGCCTCAGGAAAAGCAGCACGCGGAGGGCGAAGGTCCATCGCCCTCCGCGTTTTCGAGTTTTCGGCCTGGGGAGGCCAGCTTGAATGGCCTGGCCTGGGCCCGTCAAGGGCGCAGAAGTAGCCACGCGCCCCGTCTGCGTTGAAGCTCGCAGTCGGTAAACGGCTTGCCGGACAATGAGTCCGATAGTGTAGCAGATTCGCGGCAACAAGTTGCGTGTGTTGATAGAGAGTGGTTGGCCATTATTGGTGTTGTGAGTGCCGCTTCCACGGCAAGGCTATTTAGTCAGATGCTTGGAAACGGCCAGTCGTCTGAGTCCCCTTCCTCCCTTCCTCGACCTCTCCCTCTCCAACCCCTCTCCTTCCCCTCTCTCTCGAACTCTTCCTTTCTCTCTTTGCTCAGATGCGCGTGCACACTCGCACACAGTCGGCCCGGAGTAGTAGGTGGACCCTGCCAGATCAAGGATGCCCTTGTATCCTGTGTCTCGCGACCCGTGCTTCCTACACATTCCTGTGGCAGTGTAGCCCTCGGACGGGTCTTGTGTCCTCTCGCGTGTCCTGTCCAACCAGGGCCGACTGCATATAGCGCGGGACCGGGCCCGGGGGCCCCAGGGGCCCCGGGGGGCCGGGACCACGACCACAAGTGTGGGGCCTGCTGCGCGGGGCCTGGTCTTGGAAGGCCCCACCCTGCCTCTCTCGACTGGACGTAGGAGTGACCTTTCGCCGGAGTGACCTCTGGTGCGGGCCAAGTGGGGTCCCTCCATCGCCGAGCGCGATGTGGTGGTAGTGTCTTGCGCGCTTGTGTTTGGTCCCCCCGCGGCCCCCAGAAAGCCGCGCACTGAAGGTCACTCTTGACCCAGGGTCACTCTTGCGTGTAGCCGACTCTCCGAGGCATCCGACAGCCGTCCCGGCGGTCCCGGACGGCCCCGAGCCACGCCCGAGACTGCCTCCCGGGGTCGCATCCGGGGCCTCCAGACGCCTCAGGAGACGCTCAAGGCAGTCCTGGAGGGTCCTGCAGGAGATCCTCAGGGAACACATCCGACGCGCACAGGCCCACAATCGGGGGTGGATAGAACCCCCAACAGTGACACGTCGAATAGTGAATTGTCCGTTTTCGGTTTTCGAGAGGGCGCCGCGGCCGTTATTTTCCAGGCTTGCGCCCGCCAGGTTTGGGCCTCAGGTCGTTTTCACTAAACCAGGTTTCCTAAAGGGAGGTCTGTCCATCCCCGACACAACAACCGAAGGGACATCATCGATCTTTGCTTTCTCGCCTTTGGCTTGCCATGGGCTGCTGAGACATCAGGATCGCCCCCAAGAGGCTCCCAGGGGGTCCCAAGACGCTCCCAAACAAGCCCCGAGGAGGCTTCAAGAAACCCCAAGAGGCCCCTAAACAACCCCCCAAGGAGGTCAGCCCCCCAAGAGGCCCCCAAAAAGTTCCCACGATGCTCCGAAGAGGCCCCAGAAGGGACCCCCAAAGGCCCCTGAGAGCCCCAGACGACGCCCTGGGAGGCTGCCAAATGGCCTCCAGAGTGGCCCGAAGAGGCGTCCAAGCTGGCTCCAAGAGGCGCCCGAGAAGCATGTTAAGAGATCCCAAAAGGTATCCAAAATGCCTCTGACCCACAGCCCAGGCCAGTAGACAAGCGAACAATTGCGCAGCCTTGCGAAGTGTACAGCCTATGCAGTCGCGTGTAGCGCAGGGCGCGGTCCTCTCTTCATGCACTGCGCGCCTCGGGACAGTGTCGATAGGCAAGCGTGCACAGGCGCGCCGAGATTGTGGGACACGGTCCGCGTGAAGGCGGTGCCGAATCATTCGGGTGCTCCTGCGCGAACGCGCCTACTGAGGCCGCAGGTTGAGCTCCCTGTGCGGCACGACGCGTGTGAGGCATTGCGCCCAGGTGGGCGGGGGACGCCACGCGATGTCGCCCATCGTCAGGAGGGAAAAAAACACACAGACACAATTCATCGTCGATTCCCAGGAAACTATGGGAAAATATGGGAAGTGGGGGGGAAGACAAAAACCGAGGAAATATGGGAAGATATGGGGACTCCTTTTATTCGTGCGTATTTCTTTGTGTGTCCTGGGGCCCCTTCACGTCGGTGCCAGAGGCGGAGCTCCTTCTGGGGCTCGCTGCGCGCGAGGGGTGTGCCGGGCTTGGCGGGGGGGGACGCGGTGCGAGCCCTGTCTCCGGGGGGCGGCGGGCCGTGCTCTCCCCGTGGGGGAGGCGAGCCGCGCGAGGAGCGCGTGCCGAAGCTGGCGGGGCGGCGGGCCCCATGCGCCGAGCCTCGGCGTCTGGGGCCGTGGGCGTGGAGCTCCCCCGTGGCGCACGATCGGCGTGAGGTGTGTGTGCCCTGTAAGAACGGTCTACTCTGTAAGAACGGTTTTTTGAAGGCAGGTCTGCCTTCAAAAAACCGTTCTCACATTGAAGGCAGATCTGCCCTCAGAAAACCGTTATTACAGAGTAGACCAGTCTTTCCTCCTTGCAGGTTGGAGGCAGATCTGCCTTCAAAAAACCGTTCTTACAGAGCAGACCAGTCTTTCCTCCTTGCAGATTCGGAGGTGGATAGACCTCCTACCCTGACACGTCGATCAAAAGGAATTGGCCGTCTTCGGTTCGCGAGAGGGCGTCGCGTCCGTCGTTTCTGCGGGTCCAGGTCCGTCGGTTTCGGTCCCGGGCCGTTTTCACTGAGGGGAGGTTTACCAAAGGGAGGTTTGTCCACCGCCGACGAAACGGGCGGGGCGGGCCCCTGCGCCGACCCTCTGCGCCTGGGGCCGTGGGTGTGGAGCTCCCCGTGGGGCACGATCGGCGTGAGGTGTGCGCCCAGATGGGCGGGGAACAAAAAATGGCATAAACATAAAAACTCGGTGGTCCGCGCGGATTTCTGGGATCGGCGCTGGACCCCCCTCCCTGGCGCGCGGAGCGCGCCAGGGGTGGCGCCGGAGGCGCCGCCGAGGGGCCCCAGCGCCGATCCCAGAAATCCGCGTGGACCTCCGAGTTTTTATGTTTATGTCATTTTTTGTTCTCCTGCAGATGGGCGGGGATGCGGATGCGAACCTGGTCTTTGAGGCCGTGCAGTCACGACGCTAAGCCAAGCAGCAGTTGGGGTTCAGGAGGGGCTTGCTGTTCCTTGGGTCCTTGCATGGCTGTTTCTCCAGTGCTCCTCGTCCACGCAGGTGCCTTTGGGGGCCCAAATGGGGCTTCGTTCCTGATTTAGCGTTCCTTATGGTAGCAGCAGCTTGACTGTAGGTGGAACTCCTTGCCGGGCACGATCCGCGTAAGAGGTGTGC